ATAGATGAATTTAGACGAGATGATGATGATAGATATAAGCTAGAAAATACGAATGTCGAGCGAACAAATGAATATTCGCGCTTAACTGGTGTTTTTGAGATTTTAATTCTATTTACTTACACTTCCAGAGTGTACTTCCCGTCTCGATTCTTCGTTGTTTGTGCACTGTCCTCTTAACCTAGCTCCGTTTGTTGTTGCCCCTGCGTCTGGTTCTGCACATAAACGATTATCTCCTATCGAGTTTTGGCTAGTGGCTCCCATGATTCTGTCGGGAGACCTTAAGCCTTGTTCTTCCTGCACCGTCTGTTCTCCCGAGATGAAATTCATCGTCTGCCCTGGGACTTGACCCTGCAAGCCTCCGTTGTTTTCCATCAGCCTTGACAAGTTGATGCTTTCCACTGTAGCCAGCGTCTTCAGCTCATCCCTCCCACCAACCACCAGCAGACGCCCGTCGACCAAAACGGCACAACCGCATTGCTGCCGTTGTCCCGGGAGCTGGCCCAACTGACGCCATTCGTTTTTGTATGGATCGTATTCCTTGAATGTAAGAAAAAAGTAAAACAATTTAGTTTCGCTCGTTGAATTATAAAGTGTTTAAAGCTGAAATTAAAGTCTTTACTCGTTTTATTTTATTAAAGATTATCTGTATCATCATCGCCCATATATTTCCTCTCAACGCATATGCACCGTTTGTGGAAAATGGGATTTATTGCGCATTTTGCCGCGATAAATCGAGAATCCTATATTTGTCAGTGCAAGAGACCATCAATGAAAGATTCCGATCCCAAGCCAAATAAGTCATTCCTGTAACAACTAAGATGGCAGCCTAACTAGCTTATCAATCCTAATTTTACTACTAATGTGCATGAACACATTAGTAAGACCTGGCTTGCTTCTAAAATATGATGGTAAGAACGTTGGCTCGACTTTGAATCATGTGTTCCCTTTCTAGAGACTTATTACAGTCTAGACATACGTTACGTCATGTTTTTGAGACATCATTGGAAATAATGAATAGTCTTGTATAGCTCTTTTGAGGTGGCAAATCGGTTGTCAGAGGTCGAGCGAAACAGCAGGAAGAATCGATTGTGAGATATGAAGAGAAGCTTGCTTCGAAGAATCCCTGGCATATCTTTCGTTTGGTATGAGAAGGCGGATGGAAGGGGCTCGTAGATTGGCCCCACCAGATACCGAAGGATGGTTGCCTTGGATTTGTTGAATTGTGCGATGAAGACGTCGGCTCATCGTCTTTCGACAAAGTGCTGAGCTTTCGTCCGTTATGTGGCGGACATCATCAGAGCCAGAAATCATTATTCACTAACAATCATTAAAACACTATTGTTAAGCTGACTTTCATTCCGAGTGAAAGTGTTGGATGAAGAGCTTCGAAGGTCGGTTCCGTCAGAAGACGACGGTGGATTCTTCTTGATCAGCTGTCGATTAGCTTTACTGGAAGATTGATGCTGACGCTGTTTCCGAGGTAATATCCTTCGTTTCCGGTGAAAAGGTGCTAAGCTTTCGTCCATCATATGACAAGCACCATCAGAGCAAGGTGTCATCGTCACAACCAAATTCAAGCTAATGAGTCAAGAAAACTCACCGGCAAATACCTAAAAAGTGGTATATACACTCTACATCTGGCCTCTTTGCTCAAGTATAAAGTGCTTTGGTTAGTTAGGGTCATATGTCAACTTTGATGCCTGTGAGTGTGTCTGTCTCTGTATGTGTATGTGCCTACTTGTGTTCGCTTATGCACAAAACCCGAAGTGATGGCTTAAAGTAATTAGGAAAGCAAAAAGTAACGTCTGTTTTCAGCAATCAAGGCTTGATGACCCCTATCTCCCCCTTCTACATACATGTTACAACCATCGCTCCGATTGCGCAAGGTCGGACACATGAGATGAATTCACCCTATTTCGTTTAAGGTGAAGAAGGACTGGTAGTAGAATCTTCCCAGTTTGAGTTTATTCTATTAGATGAAGCTTTCCCGATGAAAATAGGGTATCTGTAGAATTGCAACAAAACCCTGGAGCCTGAAGGAGGTACTTCTCTTGTCAACTTTGGTAGTCATAAAGAAAAACGACATTTAATGAGACTAGAGTGCTTATGGGAAAATAAGTAGACTACTTATCTTTGCTTTTCAGCGCTTCCGGATAGCCCATTTAACAATTCCTCAGACAGCCGAAAAACAGAAGAAATATTTTAGCATCAAAAGGAATCCAGCAAGACAATAGCATCATGGAAAGCATGAGATAGTAACACATGTATGAAGGGGCTGAGAGCAGAACGAAGTATATAAGTTATGGTATGAGGTCTATTGTAGCATATGAATAATGTGGGTAAATGTAATGGTTCAGTAGACAAGGGAACAACGTCCACGCCTAAAAGTCCCAGAAACTAGACCATCTTCTTTCAAAGCAGCCATATTTCTTTAGAGCATGAGTCGCATGTTGGCAAACACCCAAGTTTAGTTAATCACAACTCACTAGTATTTCTTGTAGCGCTCTGGCCGTAGTCATCGTTTTTCCGCCGATCGCCAACAGTCGGCCGATAGTCGAGGGCCGAGGCCTTTCTGGACGACGTGTCTGAAGGATGCTGATTGGCTGAATGACGGCTCTCGATGGTCTGGCCATGAGGCGACCGGAAGCCAGTAGAGAAATGCCATAGTCCGGACCCCAGACCGACTTCCCTAAGGCAGACCCACACTCTGGGCCTCTCGACTCGGGCGTGGCAAGTGGACTAGGCTCCAGATTTCGGCTAACCTTTGGGTTCAGTGGTGAGATTGATGCAGCAGAAGCGGTCGGTTGTAAAGCCCCTTGACTTGATCCAGTGAAATTCTCAGACAGACACAAACTAGCCGATGTAGAGCCTGATAACTGAGTTGGACAGACCAGGCCATTTTTGCTGCTCCAACCACTGCCGTGAGGATGAAAATAATCTGCCTCGATGGGATTGGATTTTGAGAGATGGTAATGGAGCGCGGAAATTATAGGTTTACTATTTTCCAGGCTCTCAGTGAATAGCACCTTGGCCACAAGGAGCTCTGCAAAAACGCATCAAATGGATCATGGATGTTGAAATAAGAAATTATAAAAGGGGTTAGCTAAGATGCCTAATTGAAAAGTCTTTATTTGTTTAAAATTAAGCAGTCACTATTTATAGATTCAATCAAAAACCAATAACTTGACCATAACTGGAAGTCTGACATGATCAGGGTTTTTTGTATATAAGAAGAGTTGCGAGGCTACCAGTAAGTCGAAGTAAGTATTGTTCTCGTGACTACCAGTAAATCAGTAATATGAGATGTATTCACCAAATTTCGTTTATAGTGATGAGCGACTGGTAGAAAAAGAATTTTCCCACAGTGATATGAGTTGAGCTGACGTTTCCAATAAATTTCACATAGCCTCGCTTTACCAAAAGTTGTTCTCATCCAGGGTGGACATCACCTTAAACGAAATTGGATGAATACATCTCATATTACTGACTTACTGGTAGTCACGAAAACAATACTTAATTGTAAAAATAAAGTATAGTAGTCGATTGTTATAGCAGATATACGTTTGCTTCATCGACAATTTCACCAAAAGAATATGATATGACAAAAAGACTGGCCATCCTTGAAATTCACATTTGCCCTGTGATCCAAGGGCACTCGTGGCAATGTGGTCGAGTGGTTAGCGTGTCAAGCTCCCATCCTGCACTGTCGCTGAGGGTGTTGATAAGACCGATGCGAGGTCGAAACTGCAGTCCACTCCAGCCGGGATGTGAAAAACTTTTGGGAAAGCAAGGCTATGTGAAATTCATTGGAAACGTCAGCTCAACTTATATCATTGTGGGAAACTTCTTATTATACCAGTCCTTCATCACCTTAAACGAAATTGGGTGAATACATCTCATACCAGTAAGTCATTTATATGAGATGCCTTCAACCTATTTCGTTTAAGGTGATGAAGAACTGGTAATAGAATTTTCCCGCAATGTTATGAGTAAAGCTGACCCTTCACAAGGCCTTGTTTCCCAAAAGTTGGTCTCATTCAGGGTGGGCTGCAGTTTGGGTAAGAAGGCTTTGTGAAATTCAATGAAAACGTCAGCTCTACTCTTATCATTGTGGAGAAATTCTATTACAAGTCCGTCATCGCCTTAAACGAAACATGCTGAATCAGCGTTTACCTTTCCAGACAGCCCTAGCTACAAAGTAGAGGTAGAGAATATGTCTCGACTTATTGCCAGTCCAAAGCAGGAATAGTAACAGCTCCCAGTTCTTAGTTGTGAAATAT